AATTCCTCAGCTAACCTTGGGGCCCTTTAAGCCTTGCGGACTTCAACTCCCAGAATTCCTCAGCCAACCTTGGGGCCCTTTAAGCCTTGCGGACTTCAACTCCCAGAATTCCTCAGCCAACCTTGGGGCCCTTTAAGCCTTGCGGACTTCAACTCCCAGAATTCCTCAGCCAACCTTGGGGCCCTTTAAGCCTTGCGGACTTCAACTCCCAGAATTCCTCAGCCAACCTTGGGCCCTTTAAGCCTTGCGGAGTTAAACTCCCAGAGTCCGCAAACTTAAAGCGCCCAAGGTTGGAGACTTCTGTATCTAGGCAACGGTGCTTAGCCATACCTCTGGGCGATACCGACTTTTTTTTCTTTCCTTTGCAAATGCTAAATTCTACGCTGGGCAAACAGGCCGGAGAGAAATAGCGTAAGATCATCCACCCCACCCCAGCCTTACCTTGCACTGACTTGCCAATGCTGTACAAGTGAGTGATGGCCGGGTAATTCTTCTGCACCTCCTTCAGAAAAGCTTCCAATTCCTTGGTGCGATGGTAGCGGAAATCCAAGCCGGATGCCAAAGGGAGCAGAAGAAGCAGGGAGAAGATGCCCATCTCCTCCTGCTCGAAAGAAGCATAGCAAGGGAATAAGCGCCAGGGGAGGAGAGCGCCGACGAGACCCACCTTGAAGAGTTTAAGCCGAGCGAATAAAGTGCCCAATCAGCCTCGGGAGTAGCAAGCCGACTGGCAGAAGGGGCACGGGACGAGTTTGGCCAGGCGCTGCCTTATTCTTACCGAAACGACGGCACCCAACCAGCCTCTCAGAGGCAGCCGCAAAACCCGCAGCTGCGCAGGGCACTGGATGATTCTGTTATGTCTGAGACTGGGCAAACGCGAGGTGTCAATCATCTCCACCCGATGACAGGATTGGTCGGTCAATGTAGGCGGCGCCTAAGGAAGCTAACGTCGTTCTTTTATATCGGAGCTGTCAAACCGGCAACCAATCAAAACGACGTGAGCTTCCTTAGGCGCCGCCTAAATTAACCGACCAATCCTATCATCGGATGGAGATGATTGACACCTCGCGTTTGCCCAGCAAGACATAACAGCTTCACCCAAACTGGAGGGGCGAAGAGCTAGGAGGGGCGAGGCGGGACCTTATTTTGAGTGACACAGGAGGTGTCCAGTCCAGTGAAAAGAGACCGACTTGCCCGGCCAGCCCCCCCACCTCTTCTCCACCTCGACTTCCCCCGCCCGAGTGTCCCGAGAGTAGTCAATCAGCGCGCGAAGCAAGCGGGCCGATTCGCGCCGAGTCCTTCGCCCTGATGCTAAGGTTGTAAACCGCCTGGAAGAAACGTTCCCTGCAATCGAGCGGGAACTACCTTCAGCGCAAGCAGAGCAGGCCGGTTTTCGGGACTGAGGCGCGCGCTTACAGAAGACTTCGGAATCTTACTCCGTGTTCCAACGAGGGCTCTTCAAATCCTGCTGCTCCAATCCAATTCACCGCCATTCGTTCCTGTTCCTCTCTTTTGCGATAGCAGCAGCAGCAGTGAAATTCAATATTAGGAGAAAAGGGGGAGAAAGGAAACTACCCTCGCATTTTGCATTGGACGCTGGCCAGTCAGATTCATTCTGAAACAGTGATGTGCCACATTTGCCTTCGAGAAGTGGAAAGGATTACCGGTATAGTCTTACTGCATAAAACACAGGACATTTGACAACTTCTTTTTCCCCCCTGCCCGATCCTTATGGCACTGCCTTCATCTCACCTGTAACTTATAACAAGCCAGTCTTAAGTCATTGCCCAACAGCAGGAAAATATGTATATACATATGCAAACATAGCAGTCTGTGAATCAATTATGCAGTGATTAATTAATTAATTAAGCAGCAGATTTTGGCAGTAGATGCACTTGCTAGTTTAGGGCTCTTCCAGTCTGTTGATGAGGAAGAATGAAGAAATTGTGACATTAAATCCAAAAGTCTAATTATTTACCAAAACCATTTGCTAATCACAGCACAGATTAGCAGATGCTTCCCATCACTTGGTGAGGCTTAGAATAGGGGATGGCAATAACCTAGTCCTATGGTTTAATGAATGATTTAATATACTCTGGACATATGAAATCATGACATCATGATTTGATAGCAAGCCAGAGGCTGCAAGATAGGAATGGGGAATGGGAACAGCAAATGTTTGCCATGGTTATCTGTGCCTTTCAAGTCCCATTGCACTCCCTCAGTGTGAAAATTTGTGTGTGTTTGTGTATGTGTCCTGGGAGGGGTGAACAAAGAAGTCTGGGTGCCAATATTATATTCTCTTAACAGGGTCACAGAAGACATGAAGGTCACTTCAGCTGCCTATTTAAAGCAAACAGGTACCTATATTGGGATCTATGATATGGAAAGATACTAGAAGCAAATTATTGGCTCAGCCTTCCAACTTTCCGAGGTTGATAAAATGAGGACCTAGATTGTTGGGTGCAATACGCTGACACTGTAAACTGCTTAGAGGGGGCTGCATGGAAGAAGCCTGTGGCAAACTATTGTATTTTGCCCAGAAAATCACATGGATTAACAAAATAAAGTTATTTACAATATAGTGCTGGATATTTACAATATAGTGCTGGCTCCTCAACTTCGGAATACTCAAGATGCTACTGAGGAACTGCTGAGGACTTTCAGAATGCTAATGGTATTTATGACACAGAATGAAGCTCTTCAGACATCTATTTGCTGAAGTTGTCATTCAGGAAAAGAAAATCCCAAGCTGCTAAAAACAGTATTACAATGGGAACATAGCATTTTTATCTATCTATCTATCTATCTATCTATCATCTATCTATCATCAGATTTCTAGCCACCCATCACACTTCTGAGAATGCCGGAAACATGTATATAGGAACACTTGACACAGTGAAAAATAAAACAAATTGACTTCATGTTGATACATTGGTAAATGAAATAGACTGAAACTGAACACATACCCACACAGCAAAATGAAGAAAAGATATAATAAAGATAGTATTTGGGTATAATACCACCAGTAATCAAGTAATATTAATTAAACTTCATGAACAGCCAATTGATATAACAATTATCCAAGATTATGTTCCAGCCACTGATGCAAAAGTAGAGAAGGTTGACAAGTTTTATGATCAACTTCAATTTAAAATTGTCAGAAAGTACAAGCAAGATGTGGTGCTTGTAGTTGGAAATTAGAATGCTAATGTTGGAAATAGTAAAATGTAATTGGATTGTACAGTCTAGGAAACAGAAATGAGGCAGAAAAATGATTCATTGCTAACACAATCTTTAAACAACCATCGCATTTATATAAAAGGATATCTTCTTAACCAAATTGATCTTATTACTGGTAAAGAAAATAGAATAGTTTGGTTATAATAGGAAAGCATGGCCAGGAGACCAGTGTAGAACATATCAGATTCAGAAATACTTGTGTCCAAGTTCCAAGTCAAGTTAAAGCAAATAAAGCCAACCGGTTTCCACAGTATGATATTAATCTACATTCATTCATCAAGGAGAATCCTGAATAATCACTTTGAAGTCCTGGATCTCACTGATAGGAGGAGAAAAAGAGGAACTGCAGAATGAGATCAAAAGAATTGTTAAGAATATGAAAAGAGAATACCAGAGAGCAAGAAACAAATGAAAGCAAACTGGATGTCAGAATATAATCAAATTTGTCAATATGAGATACCAAAGTCAAGAGGGACAAAGATCTAAGGAAGAAAGTTAACAGCAGAGAATGGTTGAAAGAGACAAGATTATAATGTTGACTATAAGTCATCAAAGCTAGAAAGAGATGAAAAAACAAGGAAATTGTTTTATTTATTTCCCACCTTTACTGATTTTATAACTAATTCAAGGTAGTGAACAGAGTTAACACTTCTTCCTATTTTCCACAGAATAACAACAACCCTGTTAGGATTAAAGTAAGAGTACAAAAGTCACTCAGCCTGCTTTCATGCCTAAAGCATAAACTTAGAGACTAGAAATCAATCTCAGTCTCCTGGTTTCAAGCTTGTGCCTTAATCACTACACCAAAATGCTTAGACTGCTGACATAGTCATGTTTTAAGGGACTTCTGGAAAAATATTAAATATGGGATCAATTTTCAAATGTTAGACTTATTATTTATGGTGCCTTATGTGTATTTCTATTTGTTATAATTTAGATTGAAGGTTATTCACAATTAATGGACATAGACTAAATACAGGATTATTAATACGTAGGAAAACTGTATGAGCCAATTGAGCCATTCTGAGCCTAAACAACAAAATAAGCTACAAATAAAATCCAACAAATGTATTCATTGATAGGTTATGGTTTTCAAAATAGGAATAATGTATGGGAAAATGGCCACTAAAGACAATGAGCTAGCAGTAAAATTGAATCAAGAGCCTGCCTATCAATTAAGTGTAAAGGATTATTAGCAATGGGAAATGAGATCTGAATCCTTTCCTGAGGAGCTGTTAAGATTATATTACAACTTTACACTTCAAATTGCACTAAAATATTTTGGAATTTATTAGGATGGCAGAGTGTATGATCTGCATCAATCCTAGTACCCAATTCTGCTTTACTGAGGCCAATGTAAAACTGAACATGTATATTCATATTTACATTGATTAAATCAACAAAACCTCTTAGTATTCTTTGGAAAAAGTATTATGTTTTACAATCATTCCTCATAAACTGGAAGTGAAGTGAAACCATAAATTCTATTGTGGTACATTGATAAGAAAAAGGCACAGATTAGCAGAAGACAAGGAAGATCAAACAAATGCACTAAAATATGTTGTGACACCGATACTGAACAGAAGTCACAAAAACTCTATAATGAAAGTAATCCAGCAGTAATAATTAACTTTTATGTTATATAAATTCTTGCCATAACATGGATGGAATGAGGAAATGCCTTGCCCTTGAAAATACCTGTTCCTACTTTTTTTTAAAAAAAAATTTAAACAATGCATTATAGTGATGGAGTAAGGCAACCAACACTTTAAATTAAGATTTGTTCCTGTTGTGAAATATAGAGTTCCAATGTTTTCTTCCTGTGATAAAAAAGCTGGCTGACTAATTTTAGTATCAGGAAAGATCATCTATCATTTACTTGGTGATGAATCAACAACAGATTGAGGGGAGGGAGGAAACGGGTAAAGTTCAGCCATAATTAAAATGAGATCAGATCTGACTGCAATGGGGTATTGCCAAAATCGTGTACCTAATAAATAACTGGATTTCTTTTGAAACTTGATTCGAGGCTCATGAATTAATTTCGGAAACCTGACACAAAGTTTCATTTTTTTCCACTTCACGCACAAAGTTCAGAAGTGTCTCCATGTGGAAGCAAAAGTACTTATATTCTTTTCTTTAATCAAAATGGTCAATTTTGCCATTTTAGCCAACTACATCAGCTTCTGCAACCATTCATTCATGGTAGGAATCAAGGTGTCCTTCCATTTTTGTGCATACAGGAGTCTTGCTGCTCTCAACATATATAGTAACAAAGTTCCGATTTTTTTCTCCAAATCTTTTTCCATTAGGCCCAAAAGGAAAATTTCTGGTTGCATCTTCATTTTCAAAATTTTCTGTATTAAAATATGGATCATATTCCAATTCTTTTTTTTTTCTTTATCACATGATCACCATAAATGATAAAAAGTCCCTACTTTACTTTCACACTTTCAACATTCATTTGACATACCTTTATAAATCTTAGATAACTTATCTGGTATTAAATACCAGTGATACATCATCTTATTAAATGTTTCTTTTAGAGTATAATTTAATATAAATTTAAAAACCCTTGTCTACATATTTTCCCATTGTTCAAGCAT